GCGGAAACATTGCTGCATGCATCAATCAATTCTGCAATTGATTGTGCAGAATTGGCTAACTACCACATTATGTCAAATTATTTTATGTGGACATTTGATTTCAGAAGCAACAGTAAATTCGTCTTACAAGGAAAAGTAATTTTTGTCGGTTCCATAATTGCGTTCAACAGAAATCATGATAACGATTACACACCGTTTCCTTTCTCGTACGTGATTTATTTTGAATAGTTTTTACTCTGACATTTTAACAATAGATTGATACATTTAACATTGCGTTACATTCCTATAATAACATATACAATTTATATGCTTAAAATTTATGAAGTTCCTCAATGTACATATTTCATTAGTGTTTATAGGTAGGTGTCCACTCGATCGTACGGAGTGGAAGCATGAGAAATACATTTTACATACATAGCCAGTTTGTCAACGTAGCACAGACACATACATACCTTCTCTCATATTTATTTAGTAATTTTTTTCTGAACAATTGCAGTTTGCAATTTCATTTTCATAGGATATGACATTCTGTCATGTTAATGAAACCTATCATGACATTTATTCTTACATCTTTCTATCTGTCTGAACTTAACAATGCACTCGCATTTATGTTAGACAAACTGTACAAACGTCTCGAGAAAAATATTGAAACCGACAGAACGTTCTTAAGCGCCTTACCCTTAATTACCTCGCGTCACTGTCTGTTATGGCAGTACAAGTAAAACTGTATGGTAATAATTATTGTTAACGGGAAGTATCGATCAATTAAATAACCACGGTCCGCGCGCGTATGATCGCGGCCGCTTATTTTGGTACACAGACGTCAGCATTCTTTGATATTCAAGTATCAATAAAATCAACGTGGAATACTGAAAACACGCGGTCTCATTTGTTCAAGTATTTGCAAATATAAACCTTAAACAAATGAAGCATTCTTCGTAGCGAGAAACGTACAAAATCGACTCGTCCATTTCTATACTTAAAGTTATCTGACTGAACAACGCCATGGTTAAAGTATAATAGTATATCCCTCCTATTTGTCGTAAATGAAATATTGAATATTTCTTGATTATCAAAACGTCAGTGACATATTTTTCGCTAGTAAAAAAATTGACGTAATGTTATCGCTAAATAAATATTAATTGTAAATCCATAGAATTGAAGCCATTTGAGTCTTCGTATACTGAACGTTAAAGGGACAACGCATGAGTTTAAGTCTACAATATTCAAAAACTGTGTTCTGACCGTGTTCTCTTTTCAAAAAGATACAGCGTACGAGTTCCTCCGAAAAAGACACCTAAAGATTGCCTTGTTAGCAAACTGTTGCATGAGTTGTCCCTTGTAGCTTCTTTTTCGAAAGAAGAAGTCTGAGATACATTGATAGTCGCAGTAAGCAATCAATTGATGATCAAACGATGTCTCCTCTTTCGAAATCTAAAATATAATATCCATGATCAATGCAATTCAGTAATTTCTTTAAAAAAAAAATCGGTGATTGATCCACAACAGATTCTGAATACATTTGGTACGATAATGCCGTGAAGCTTATCAATTCGCTTTTCGTGTTCGAATAAAGGAAGTTCAATAACAGTAAATTTGATTGCAGCTGCCTACGTTTCAGTGTCATTTTGATTACATTACGATCTAATAACTTCTTGTTTACAGTATACTAATGCTGTGTAAGGCCTGTACAGACACAGTTACAGTGTAATATCTTCTACAAACAATTTTCTCTTATGTTTACAGCAAAAGCTTCAATTTCATAGAATGGACCTCGATTGAAAATATATGTATTTTTATAGCTTTGACTATTGGTGAAACGAGTGTCCAAATGAACAAAACGACGTGTATCTAGCAGAAAATAGTCGATCCATTGAATTCGAATGATTCTTTTTAACTACTTGGCTTAGCTTCGCTAATTAGGCTGAACAGAGGTGTGTACAATTTAATTGAATGGTCTCTGGATTCGTTAATTTAGTAGTGGCTGCGTTATACCGTATCTCATCTAATAATACACTCAGAAAATCACATAAACACGATACTTACTGCTAACGACGGGTCGAGATCGTCTCGATCACGTCAATGTTTTTTTCTTTCAGTATAAAAATCAAGGGCATCATTTATCAGATATCTTCTCTTTGAAAAAGGCATCTATGTATGTCGTTTGTACAAAAAACAAGTGAAAATAGTCCGTTCGATTTTTTTATCTTTTCTTTCTTTTCGATTGCAAATACACTTGGTGAAGATTGTATTATTTTTTTTTGTTGCTTTTTATATAATTGTTGAATAAATCGAATTAGATATTGATCTCGGATTATAAAATTACACTACTTATAGTTAACGTACTGCTAGAAAATATTCTATGCAATACTACTGCATAGTAGTGTGTATACGTAATATATTATTAATATTACTATGTTGATATTATATATACAATGATAGTACACAGTAGCATCACATAGGCGTATTGATAAGAGTATGTATTCTGTTAGTTATACCTACTCTTTAGAATTTTTCTACGGTATTTGTTTATTTGTTCATTATGCTCCATCGATTATTTCTGACCTGACTTTCGACAATTTTGATGTTACTAAAAAGCCCAAGTTACCTATTCATTAAGTAAAATCTTTAGAGTTCAATTTAAGAAAGACAACAAAAAGTCATTGCTTCGGTACTAGTAATCATCAACAAAACCTCGTGAAATATTTATTGATTACACGTTCCTAGAATTATTCAGATACACGTTTGTTAAAAAGCTCGTTTAATATAAAAACTTATGAAAATTTTACATAGCCTCACAGGAAGTTACTTACATATCAATATGTAGTATTTAACAATTTCAAAAATTATTAAAATACGTTTAGTGTATATAGACTTTATAGACTATATACATATATTGATATAGCACCCAGTAGAATTGAATAACACATGGATAAAATACTTTTGCATAAACTAATACTCATATTAGTTTACGATCTTTTCTTTCCCTTTCATAATTGAACAAAAATGTTGCGCTATGTCGACAATGGCATTGAGAAATTTTAGCAAGTAACATTTTCTTCCCTTACTCACACAAAATAGAACAGAGCAGGATACAAAAAGTCAAGAAAACATTTTACTACTTCAAACGCCCCATCTGTTATCGTTATGATTAAACATGGAAAAGAAAGAAAATGAAAATTTGAATATTACAATAAACGCACAATGAACAAATCTAACGTTTCTTATGTACAACATTAACATTAATACCCACGAAACGGATGTAAGAAAAAAATAATGTTAAAACAAAACCTCTCCTATACAGCTCCAGGAACTTAGTTCTGTTCAGTTATCGATATTTTTGATTATTCACAGTAAAATTTGTTACACCAACATTCATAGTAGCGTCAGAGAAATGTTTACCCATGGATAGGATATCTTAAAGTGTTTTTTTTTTCTTAAAATGCGGATATTACCTGCTCGTATTTAAAAAAGAAAATAGGTGGGTAAAGTCGACCTTAAACTATGCAGCAAGCTCCTTGTGTAGAAAAGTTTCAATATCCACCCGACATATAGGACAGCGTTTGTTAGTACGCAACCACTGATCGACGCAGTCTATGTGAAATAAATGCATGCATGGAAGCCTCCTGCGCAAAAGAGATGCAAAATATATTTATAGAGATTTTGTAGCCGTGTAAATAACTTACAGTAACATACACAAGATATTTCAAGACTGACAATACTGCTCAGTAATTACTATATAGGATGTTTTCCTTGACATTGTTTCCATTATGAATAATAAGTGAGATATTGAAGGTATTATAAAACTAAGTTTGCACACAATACCTTCGTCAATCTGATCATACCATCAAATCTGAAATATCTTGTAACTGTATAAAAAATATTTTGTACCTGACACATTCGCAGTCTTCAAATTCGGACAAACATATAGTACATTTTTCAAGAGCACTTTCACCGTTTTCAACTTTCTTAACCTGCAGAAAAGAATAAGTAAACATAATTAATGAAATAGTAACACAATAATTGATATACGAAGTGCTCCAAAATAAGAACTTTAAAGACCACTGTACAAGCAGTATCTCAACGTTATTCGTCTTGGAAGACTTGTGTTACGTTAAATAATTCATTACCCGTTTGTACTTGTGGGGGAATGTATTCCTTTCAATAGACTCCTGTGTTGCTCCGAAATTAGTATGACCCAAGTGTCGTATGTAATCTTCAAGACTCTGTGAAGGTGGCACGGATGATATCCAAGGTGACAATGCTGATAACCCTTCCTACATATTCGAATATACGTCTGAATTAATGATTATGTCATATATGGTGAATTTTCTGAAAAACTAGCTTCAATTCACAAGATTTCCATATATAGAAATTTTGAGAGCATCCATACCCATTCACAGTATAGAAACCCTCTAGCCTAATTCATAAAATTTATTACCATGTTTTTCTATACCTCAAACCTCGTTGGCCATAGGCGCGGTTCATGACCCCTACTGGTAACAATGATATCATGCTGGAATATTTCGCGTCTCTGATGGGCACGATCAGCATTAGACAACGGATGAAGAGGTGGCATTATTTCATGTCGTCTTGGTTCTACTACAACGAATTCCTAAAATGGAAAATTCAATGCCTTTACAAGTGAACCAAATTCGGTATGTATTGCAGCTTCCTTGAGGAATAATCAAAAGTACCATTGCTCGTAGCAAAGGACAAGTTGGGCGAGCTCCTGGATCATGATAACGTCGTGGAGGCGGTGGTGAATAATATGGGTAATAATGTCGAGGAGGTGGGACCATTGGAAGATAATGTTCTCGAAATGCCATATTTTCCGACCCGTTACAACGATTGTTCGAAGGATTGGCATTTCCGCTGTTAAATCTATGTTGCAGGTAGTCCGGTTCACGCATATGCCGGCCACATGGCATAGTATTCCTGGAAATCATTGCAAGAATTATTACATAATAGAAACTGTTGAATTTGTATCGTTATACTAACGGGTGATGCGATGAAGATGGTGCATAAAAATGTCGCCTGCGTAACTCTTGTATGTCCTGTTGAATCCTCCATAATTTTTCTTGCCGAGGATGCATACGTGACCTTTGTATTCCACCAATACCAGCTGCAGCAAATATATTTGAATTAAATATATACACGATCATGTTTGATTTTACTGAACAGAAATAATGTATCTTACGTGGTATTTGACTATGTATTACAGGTAAAACTGGCGGACCGTGCCTACAATAGAAGTTATTCTCGCTGAAAAAATTATGAAGTATGTTAAATGAGAAAATATCCGATAGATGTATGTTGTGTGTAGTTGTAATACTATTTCACATACTTATGTACATAATCTGCTGGTCGTGGATTTACGACGGGATTTGTCGATGTAGATGGAGCATGTTCTTCATCGGATTCCACGGTTAAATCAACGACAGTTACTGGACGATTATTCTCTTCATTATTTTGTACAGAATTCTGCTAAACAATTATAATTTTCGTTGAATATTAATGTAGAATATAAAATACAAAGCAGGCTTGGACACATTTTATTTGGAATAATATAATATATTATTCACATATGTGTATTTTTTAAATATATTATTTGAATAATGCCCAAGTCTGATTGAAACTAATAGGCTTAGTCTTGTTTCCTTACTTTACTATTGTGATTTACTGTTCCAAGAACTAAAACTGAACCATCTTCATCGTCACTACTAGAGGACCAATCCAATTGTAAGTCTGGTGCTGATGGTGCATCATCATTACCTAATCAATGAAACATAATTGTGATACACATCACATTTTATTTTTCATTAAAAGTAATTGTATGAAGAGATGATTTTACTTATTGGACAAGTAGAATATTGTTGAGGATTAATTGTGTTTGGCAAAATCTGGTGGTAATATGTATTGGCTTCATTGGCACTATCATTTTCAATGTTTTGCGGAACTCGATTCAAAATATTTCCGATATTTGTTGTTGATCTAATTGTGCTGGTGAAATATGACATACACATAACACAAAATAGCAATAATTAATTAAAACACAATTCACCTGTATTAATATTTCATACCTATTAGGAACACCATCCGAGAGTCTAGATGGGCCAGCTATACTTAAACTATCAGCTTGTTGATCACTTATTGACTTATGAATCTCACTCGTAGACTTTGATGGAAGTCGCTGATGCCAATATCTTTTACAGTAATCTCCACAAGCTCCTCCATATATGTTTCTGAACTGTTGTCTATGAGATTCCTGATGCTTTGTGCTTCTTTCGTGCCTGTGTTGGCTTATATCATAATTTATATGGTCAGGATTAATAGGAGTTACTTCAGATTCTTCTATATCACTTTCTGCAAATAAAGGTTCAAAATCCATTTCAGTTCCTGTAATGAACGAAAATCATTGGTAAGTATTGCTATACAGTGTTTCATTTTAATATACTCCATTTTTTACCTACTCCAATTTACCTGTACTAAATCTTGGCTGAGGAGATGGATCGACTGTAGATGTAAATGCTGTATCAAATATATCAGCTAAAGAAGTGGAATTTCCTTCCATTGATTGAGTTGCAGATTCCCCATGATACAAACTACTCTGCTCTTCTGCTTTAGTCTTACACCAAACTTTTTCGGAGCCTGCACTTTCTTCCATCCTATTTTAAATGGTTAATTACTTAATATTCATCTTTAAACAAATGTAAATTGTTAAATTATGTTTTTAATGCTGCAATTAGCAAACAAATTTATTTGAACATAAATTTTCATTTAATTACCTGATTATGATGCAATGAGCAAACAAAGATATCTAAACACGAATTTTCATTGAATCACCTGATTCTGATAGGAAGAAATATGCGGACAATTGATGGACGAGTAATTATAATAATATAATATAGCAACAAACAAATTAAAATAAGAAAATGTTATACATATACAAATTGGAGCAGGACAAAAATCTAAAAGAATATGCCCTAAATACATACAATGTACATATATATCAATACGTACATATCACGTAACGTATAATAATATATACAAAAATTCTTTTTATCACGCGAGTCAAATAATTGCAATCACGAATCCTACGAAAATGAGCATTTCTTCACAAGTATGACCGTAACGTCTGACATTTCATGAAAATTTTGCTGCTGCATTTGCAAATATTCGATGCAATATTTAAATTAAGGGTTAAGAAAGTGCAAGTACTTACATACCTTGCAATTCCTTCGATGGTTTCGTAAAACGATAAAGCTCTCCTCACCACGTCATTTTTCTCGAGATATTTATTTTCTATACATCACTGTCATTATGTAGCACTATCTATGCACGTCAATATTAGCTAAATAACTGTTTCACTTGAAATTTTCACGAACATTTAATCTATATAAAAATTTCGATTAAATACTTCTATCAGTAATAACAATAAAATCGGAGAAGAATTTACGTAGACTTTCTTTCGGTAATCTACATTTGGCAACTATGATACCATCAATCGTAACTTGCATTAACTACGCTCAATTTTGGGCAGTCTCCGTTGATTATGTAGTGTGCTACCTTTCCGAGACAGATAACAATCGTTACGTTAGTTCCCAAATATTTCACTAACAGTGCAATACTTTTGTTTTTTTTAAATTCGTTGCATTTCCTTCCTCGCACAATTTTTTCAATTATTACGCTGTACACATTCATTTAAAAGCTAACAACTTTCTGAATGAGGCTACGATACATTGTATATACATTTTTGTATATTGTACATGTATGATAAAGTTTATAGGAGAAAAGTTAATTTCCCTATGTTTCTACCAATAGCTTGGTTGTAAAACTAGTATTCAATTACAATAAATAACGACAGAAACAACTATGCATTTTATTTGCTGTAATTTAAATTTAAACAACAATGATTTTGTTAGCACATAACGCATCGTTCAAGTAACAGTGCCAGAGTTCTGACTAACCATCGATCACTAACAGAATTTGATAATTGATGAATTGAAAATAAATATTAAACTAAATTTTCATTATCATGGAAAATCGCTTGATAAATTGATTTCCATATATTGTCAGAAGTTACCCGATACTCGTTATTTTACTGTGATTTATAAGATTACCATGTTAGTAATCATCTTTTAAGATGAAGTTATTGAAAAGATATAAAATACAAAAGTGTAGTCTAGCTGTAGGGATTTTTTTTATAATTTATCAAGCTGTTGTTTATCTATGAAAAATCTCTTCATTGAAAATCGGATCGGAAGAACACGTTCACATTTTGACCGACCAATCAGTTTCAGGCTCAATGTTCCTGTCACTTGACAAGTTCGTAACGAATTCGTGGAAGCAGATGTACATGCGATAACTGCACTTTGCCCGTGTATTTTCTATCGGACTAAGCCTTCTCGTTAGTCCACAGAAGTTAGTCCTCTTAATGGTGGTCCTCCAGTAATTTAATATTGGTTGTTAAGAATTTTTAACCGATTTATCAATTAAAATCATGGCTGTGGCTGTCAGAACATTTCCGAAATTCACAGGTAAGATACAGACGATTTTCTGAGTATCGTACGATCTCAAGATTACGCCCTGCTAGATTTTGAAATCTTTAAGTACTATTCTGTGAAAATACTTTGAGACTTTACGCCTGTACACGTGATTTCTGTCGTTATTTCAGAAACTAAAAATATACCTGATATCCCGCGTTCACGTTCATATACCATTATGTAAGGACACGTATAATTATTTGTAATTCAATCTTCATAGGGAAACATGCCTTTCAATTGATTGGCTTGTCAATGTGAATTCGTTCCAATTTAAAAGTTAATGAATAATGGTACGGTTTTCTTTCGAAATCTTGTCCTTCCTAAACTGTTGTATTGAAGTAAAAATTTGATTTTATATCCTTTACTTATTCAATCCTTTACTATGTATATTATTCAGGTTCACCTTGTGAATACTACCTTTTGTTTCTACATCATACACAATGATTTATACATACATTTCTGTAACAATTACCTTTTTCATCTGTCATATGAAATGTCATACCAATCAATTAGGCATCATTGGATGATGTTGTATATTCAATGAACCTTGACCCAAAAGAAAAGTCATTTGATATTGCCACTATAAATAACATCTGGCTTAAACAATACTCATACGAAATATGTCTCTGTCATAAAATGATATGTCTTCAATGCCCATTAATGCGTACTTCAATGAAACTTCCTTACTTTATAATATGATGTATATATTTTTTTATGATAAACGATTGTTTATATTCTAGTCAGAAATTGTGGGAATTTGCTACGGAATCAAGTAAGATTTAATTACACAGAAACTAGACAAAATTTAAAAATTGATAGCAATACCAAAGTTATATGTCAAGGATTCACTGGGAAACAAGGAACATTTCATTGTCAACAGGCTATTGATTATGGTACCAAAATAGTAGGAGGTGTTAATCCTAAAAAAGCTGGTCAAGAGCACCTTGGAAAGCCAGTCTTTAAATCTGTAAAAGAGGTTTGTAAACAATACTCTTCAATAGATCTTTGCCTATATCAATTTTTATTTTTGAATTATCCTTCTGTCCTGTATGATATAGTTATTATGGATTTAATTTTTTAGGCTAAAGAAGGAACTGGTGCTACAGCAACTGTCATTTATGTACCTCCACCAGCTGCAGCAGCAGCTATCATGGAGGCCATTGATGCTGAAATGCCCCTCATTGTATGTATCACAGAAGGTATTCCACAACATGATATGGTCAAAGTGAAAAGGCGTCTTTTAGAGCAAAGCAAGTCACGTCTTATTGGACCAAATTGTCCTGGAATAATAGCTCCTGAACAGGTATAAATATTTGCAATTTCTAGTTTACTTGTATACATATGTAATTAGTTAATTAACTGTATTCTATCATTTGTTCTTATAGTGTAAAATAGGTATCATGCCAGGGCATATACATCAAAAAGGAAAAGTTGGTATTGTGTCAAGATCTGGAACTTTGACATATGAAGCTGTGAATCAGACAACCCTTGTAAGTAAATAATATTTCAATGAAAATGTTAATGGAACATGATATACTAATAAAGAAAATTATTATTTTAAGGCTGGTCTTGGACAAACACTCTGTGTTGGAATTGGTGGAGATCCATTTAATGGAACTGACTTTATTGATTGTTTAGATGTATTTCTTAGAGACCCAAATTGTGATGGTATCATAATGATTGGTGAAATTGGTGGAAGTGCAGAGGAGAAAGCAGCAGAATATCTCATTGAAAAGAATACTGTTGGTTGCTGTTCTGAATTATTGGTATCCAAATCCTGACCTGTACCAATAATCCATTGATCCTTTGTTAATCCTAGAACTACCAAAAATCCTACCAAATTCTTGGAAATGAAAAGTATGAAAATATTAACATGGGTGCAAACACGTTAATTATTTTGTTATTTCAGGGTGATAAAGTTAAACCAGTTGTATCATTCATTGCTGGTATTACTGCTCCACCTGGACGAAGAATGGGACATGCTGGGGCAATTATTTCGGGAGGAAAAGGTGGTGCGCAAGATAAAATAGATGCACTAGAAAAGGTACCTTTATCATTCATTATACCATCCGAATATTCTTTTTATCTTCTATATTATAATTATCTTCGGGGTCTCGAATCTATTCTTAAGGAATTACATTAAACACACGAGATATTTTTTCTTTGTAATATTTACTATAATCAAAAAAATTTCTTTACAGGCTGGTGTAATAGTAACAAGGAGTCCTGCACAAATGGGAAATGAACTCTTAAAAGAAATGACGCGTCTCGGTTTGGTCTGTAATTAAAAAACACATGCTACTATAAACATATGTAGTTTGCCTCATGTGCATGTATCTTCATAAAATAAATTGAAAGTACGAATAATTCGTCGATAATATAAAAAACGAAACCAAATATTGCAGTAAAGCATGCAAAGTTGGTCATTTCGAAACAACTGTTCGTTGTTGATAAAAGAATGCCAAGTTATTTTATTCCTGAAGATCAAATTTACAGGAAGACTCACAAACATTTTTTTAAAGAACTGAATTTATTTTAACACTGTACAGTGTTTATAAAATATTTGTATCGATGTAGCTTTTATTTTAACAGCTGCAAATGTCCAGAGATAATATAGAAACGAATATTTAAGGAAATGTTAACTGCCATTATTCTGTCACTATTTTCCTTGTCCTAAAATTATAAATTTTTCTATGCTGTTATGCCATAATTTATGGAATGGTTATTTAAGTAATAAAATCTTACTACTGTAAATTATATCGAAGCTATACTTGTTGTAATTAATAATAGAAACAGTAATACTATGTACTCGTATTGTAAGTCATGTTTAAAAATTGAAATACATCAAATTATATTAATTGTTCAATTAATGTTTTTGTTTTTAACAAATAAAATATGTGATCAAATTTAATAATACAATTTGCATATCTTAAACATTATTTCTTATTTGGAAAACCCATTATTTGATTTATAAATCCAGCAATNAAATAAAATATGTGATCAAATTTAATAATACAATTTGCATATCTTAAACATTATTTCTTATTTGGAAAACCCATTATTTGATTTATAAATCCAGCAATNTTTCACATACTCCAGTATGTTTGGATTTAAATTAAAATATTCAATTTTAATAAAACCATTACGTGGTGTACAATCTGGTTCAAGGGTAGACTTGCCAATTTGCAAAATTAGCTCATTGTACCCTTTCAAGGATAATGCCTAAAATAAGAATATAGATACAGGATGAGACATATAAATGGAAACACCTATGCATTTTCATTGCTTGTATATCTACTATGATTGTTAAGAAAAAAAGTGCATAACAAAACTTTCTTATTAGCAGCCTTTTAGCTAATTTAATTACATTGTAAATTTGATCCTTATGCATCTCCATACATATTCAGGCTGTCTCACACAAGTGGGACATTATATGCTCAGCAGTCTTCTTGAAGGGCAATTAAAAGTGACTTCAGAATCCCATTTTTCAGATGCACAAACTTAATAAACTTAATTGCAGAATATACATCATTTAATTTATATAAAATTTTATTCACTTCAACCAGTTTTAGAGATACAGCTTATTCCAGATGTGTGAGACACACTGTATGAACAAAATATACATATTTTATGTCACATCTAAAAGAGATCATCTGTATACTAAATATATTAAAGTATAGGAAATCGAGAAATGACAAAATCCGTAGTTATGCATTTTCATTATACTGTTACATATTAAAAATAAAATTAAAAAAAAAATGTTTCATATATGCTTTACCTTTAAAATGTCTGCACTAAGTACTATTTTAATTAATTCGTCAAATGTGGTTGTACCAACAGTAACAAATATTTTTTTTGTTGATACTGTCATTTTAAATAAAGAGTAACATAGTAAACCTTGTCGTTAATTATGATAATAACACTTTGAGTTTACGTTACAAAATGTTTGGTTAAAAAAACAGTACACATTGAATAGAGAAATGGGGCCTACTCCTGCACACTTCCAGGACATAGCTTGATCCATTAGCAAGAATCGATATAGAAATTTTCGTTGCTCTGATTGACTGATGATTCACTGCTGAAACAAGCTCCACTGCGGATTGGATGCACAGTAAAATGGTGGGGATGTGCGCGCTAGCGTAGGGAGTAAGAGAAGCGTGCAGGAGTAGCTCCCATGTCCTATTACTGTATTACTCACATGTTGTTAGTTTAATTACGAATTTGTATAAAACATGCCAGAAAAAGTAAATAAGATACTAACTTATGAAGGCTGTAATTACCTGCGATATCGTTTGCTATTATCTACACTTTCGGGCAAACCTGTGCGAATAACAGAGATTAGAATTAAAGATGATGACCCTGGAGTAAGAGGTTAGTTTAAACATGTCATAATTTAACCCTTTGTGGATGAATGTCATCTCTATAGCAATAAGAAAATTATTATTCTCAAAGCTTCATCAAACACAGCATTGTTTCCTTAATTNCCAGCAATACATTCACTTTTGTTATTAACATAAGGTCTTAATTGAATAAAATCCATAGTTTGGATAACATTCAATAAAGTTTCACAAGAGCCATAATATAAATGTTTATCCAAATGAAGTTGCTCTGCTAATTCTAGCTGATGATTATGCATCAGACTATTATTTGCAACTACGATCAGATTCTTTTTATTTTCAAGAGCATCTAGAATGCTTCCTGCCCCTGCATGACTTATGATAAGATCTGCATTTTTCACATACTCCAGTATGTTTGGATTTAAATTAAAATATTCAATTTTAATAAAACCATTACGTGGTGTACAATCTGGTTCAAGGGTAGACTTGCCAATTTGCAAAATTAGCTCATTGTACCCTTTCAAGGATAATGCCTAAAATAAGAATATAGATACAGGATGAGACATATAAATGGAAACACCTATGCATTTTCATTGCTTGTATATCTACTATGATTGTTAAGAAAAAAAGTGCATAACAAAACTTTCTTATTAGCAGCCTTTTAGCTAATTTAATTACATTGTAAATTTGATCCTTATGCATCTCCATACATATTCAGGCTGTCTCACACAAGTGGGACATTATATGCTCAGCAGTCTTCTTGAAGGGCAATTAAAAGTGACTTCAGAATCCCATTTTTCAGATGCACAAACTTAATAAACTTAATTGCAGAATATACATCATTTAATTTATATAAAATTTTATTCACTTCAACCAGTTTTAGAGATACAGCTTATTCCAGATGTGTGAGACACACTGTATGAACAAAATATACATATTTTATGTCACATCTAAAAGAGATCATCTGTATACTAAATATATTAAAGTATAGGAAATCGAGAAATGACAAAATCCGTAGTTATGCATTTTCATTATACTGTTACATATTAAAAATAAAATTAAAAAAAAAATGTTTCATATATGCTTTACCTTTAAAATGTCTGCACTAAGTACTATTTTAATTAATTCGTCAAATGTGGTTGTACCAACAGTAACAAATATTTTTTTTGTTGATACTGTCATTTTAAATAAAGAGTAACATAGTAAACCTTGTCGTTAATTATGATAATAACACTTTGAGTTTACGTTACAAAATGTTTGGTTAAAAAAACAGTACACATTGAATAGAGAAATGGGGCCTACTCCTGCACACTTCCAGGACATAGCTTGATCCATTAGCAAGAATCGATATAGAAATTTTCGTTGCTCTGATTGACTGATGATTCACTGCTGAAACAAGCTCCACTGCGGATTGGATGCACAGTAAAATGGTGGGGATGTGCGCGCTAGCGTAGGGAGTAAGAGAAGCGTGCAGGAGTAGCTCCCATGTCCTATTACTGTATTACTCACATGTTGTTAGTTTAATTACGAATTTGTATAAAACATGCCAGAAAAAGTAAATAAGATACTAACTTATGAAGGCTGTAATTACCTGCGATATCGTTTGCTATTATCTACACTTTCGGGCAAACCTGTGCGAATAACAGAGATTAGAATTAAAGATGATGACCCTGGAGTAAGAGGTTAGTTTAAACATGTCATAATTTAACCCTTTGTGGATGAATGTCATCTCTATAGCAATAAGAAAATTATTATTCTCAAAGCTTCATCAAACACAGCATTGTTTCCTTAATTTATAATCAACTATATTTTTTTCTGTCAGAATATGAAGTTAGTTTCATACGTCTATTGGACAAAATCACGAATGGATCAAGAATAGAATTAAACGAAACTGGGACCAATTTATATTACAATCCTGGTTTATTATATGGAGGAGATTTGGAACACGATTGTAGTTTACAGCGAGGACTTGGGTATTATTTAGAAGCTGTCATTATATTGGCTCCATTTTGTAAACAGCCAATTAATATAAAACTGAGAGGAGTGACCAATAACACAACAGGTAACAAAACAATGAAGGAACTAATTATTTAGAAAATAATTGTAACAATTATATGATTTCGCTTTTCAGATCCATGTGTAGATAGAATAAAGGCAACTGCAATACCTATCATAAAGAAATTTCTTCCAGGTGATAATGAAGTTATACTTAACATCACTAAAAGAGGAGCAGCACCTTTGGGAGGTGGAGAAGTTATTTTCAAATGCCCTGCTAGTCGTAATCTTAGAACTGTACAAGTTAGTCTTCTTACTTTAATTGAAAAAATATTCTTATCTGGTATTTTTTACCTAGCTTAAGAAATTGTTTCTGTAGTTTCAGAATAGTGGAATGGTAAAACGTATACGAGGAACTGCGTGTAGTATAAGAGTTTCCCCTGCTATCGCTAATCGAATGATAGAATCTGCAAAAGGGGTTCTACTGAAATTTCTACCAGATGTATACATTCACACGGACAATTGCAGAGGAGCAGCCAGTGGAAAATCACCGGGTACATGTTCGAAATTATTAATAGAATATTCTAGTATAATTGATAAAAATATTAACCCACCGGCCAATAAAATGGTTTATGAACATTTGTTCTATATGTGTTTACATTAAGATACCTTATTTTTTCATGTATAAAGTACTGATTTAATATCAAATGACATCAGGTTTTGGAATAAGTTTGTCAGCTGAAACAACCACTGAAGCATTTTTTGGTGGAGAAGCATTTTCACCTTTGAGAACAACAAATTCTGTACCTTGTGTGCCAGAAGATATTGGCAAAGAAGCAGCCATGAAACTAGTTGACGAAATTTATAGGTAAATAGAACTTTTTACTTATCAGTGACAAGAAAATCATTCAAGTATGCTAAAATCTGTAATTTTAGAAATGGGTGCATAGATTCACCTTTTCAAAGCATGACTGCAATGTTTATGGCATTAGGCAAAAGAGATGTTTCCAAGGTTGTAACGGGACCTTTAACATCTATAATGTAAGTATTTGTTATTTTATTCACTATGACATTTAAAATTGTGTGCTTTGGATGAAACGAGATGCTGTTTTTATACTATATAATAAATTTTATCCTATATAGGATACAATTTTTACGTGACTTGAAAGACTTTTTTGGAATAGTCTTTAAAATTGAACCATATAAAGAAGATGATGAAATATTCGATCAAGTTGTCCTAACTTGTGTAGGCGTAGGTTATAGCAACATAAGTAAACGGACGTTGTAAAATATTGAATTGTATTTAGATTTTTTGTTACGACTATTTTATACTTTAAAACAATAAAAAATATATCTTCAAAACATAAAAGATTTATAACACAAACTTTTGCAAGTGAATCGGTTTGGTAGTCCAACCATGAAAAGATTCCACTTTCAACATGTTCCACAATGTTTGGTACTTCTTAGACCATTTTTTACAGTCCAAATAGGTAATCTTTTTTGGATGCCTTATACAAGGATCAAAATTCTGAGATTTATCACATGTCTTTAAAAATGTTTCAAAGAGTGCCCTCCTTGTAACAAGTAAAATACTACCTTTTTTCCTTTTAGTAGCTCCTTGTCTTCTACCTTCGACTGCTATCTCCGTGTTGCTACACAATCATTAATTGTGATTTTCAATATAAGAGAGATTCTTGTTTATTGGAAGTCGTTTACGGTAGTTAAAATATTAAATATAAACTAAAAAGAGTATATATAACAATTACCGATGCCTCACAGCACACCATATAATACTTGATGGACATGGTTGTTTTCTTTTGTCATCTTTCTGCTGTCTAAACGATACTTGACTTTGTACAATTTTTATTTTGTGTATATTTTTATTGAATCGTGCATACACTCCACGTTCCATTGCGCTTAAAGAAAATGGACATCCCCCTCCAATTATTACAGTTTCCATTTTTATTAGGGGTATTATCATAGATAGAAGTGCACCTTGCAATCCAAGAATATTCCATCTGAAAGGGATACAAATTCTATTTATTGTGCATAATCGTCGTATGTAAAAGAAATTATAGGTTTTTGCAATATCATTTACTTTGCTATTTTGTCTGAACATGACAAGCTAAGAGTAGGATTACCCCTTCCTGGTTTGGTACGTAGAGTCCCTACTACATGATAATGTATTCCAGGCTGATGAGGATCTTGGTCATCTGCAGATTTAACACATTTTGCTCCGGTTCTATAAATATCTACAACGTTTTGTTGTCTCTTTTCATTATTAGCTGGTTCTGTGATTAAATCCCAAACCTTATTGTAGTCATGTTTTCTAATTTTGTTAGGTGGTGCACCATTTTCAATATAGTTTTCTTTCGGAAATATTGAACAGTCTCCACAAGGTGTTTGACTTGTGAAAAAATGGAATGATATTCCATTTTTTAGATTAATCTTTTTCTTCTCATCTAAAAAGAAGATATCACTCCCAGCACCACTGAACAATAAATCTATTTGTTCATACAGGTACCTTAAAAAGGCACGTCTAGTTAGAACTTCTGCATGAGAATCATGTAATCTGGAACCTTCTTCATATAATTCCATATTTACTAAATCCACTTCTCCTAAACACTTTGTACCTGTTGCAAGGGCTACTAAAGACAGCAAACCATTCTGCTGTTGTAAAACTATACCAGACAATACAGTCCATTCTTTCTCAGATGGCTTTCCATTTTTACTAAGATTTGTATATTTTTGTATACAAAGCCTTGCAACCTGGTCTGCAAAGTCTGTCATGATGTTATATTAAACTAATCTCTCTCATTGATGTTAATAAAAATATGATATTAATTTAATGAGATTTTTAAGATACTGATATTAAAATAATATTTTTTCAAGATTTTACGGTCATTGAGACTTTTCAAAATAAAATCTTCTACCTTTTCCAATATTCTTATAGTGTATAAAAAATAAATTCAATGATCTTAATAACCATACTGTCCCGATATCGTGAAAATCATTACTGACATTCCTGAATATTCCTTGATAAAATAGGTTATGTTTACCAATGATATCCTATTTTTAAGCTTTCATCAACAACTTGATATATTTTGTTTTTTCTGAATCTTAGTTCTAACTGAAATTATTTAATTATACATATAAAAAATACATATACATATAAATAAATATACATATAAATAGTTATACTGAAATTTATGAATGTAAACACATAGCTATCTTGCATAGACATGTGCATTAGACATGTGCATTACGCAAATATATAAAAAACTTTACATGTTGCAATTAAGTATTTCTTCTAAATGACGTTAGATAATTAATTGAAAGATGCTGATGTCATATATCTATTTTTTAGGTCGATAAAGCAGTCAATTTGGGTCGCGAAAGTTCGCCACATGCAGACTCATATGAATTCGTTTATGGTTTAGCGTTGCCATCGGGAATTTCCTTATATTTCTAGTTTCATTGTAGATTGCAGATTAGAATTTCTACTAGACGTTTTAGAATTGTTTCATATAGTTTTTTAATCTTTATTGCCGATAAATTGTTTCAATCTTCAATCATTTTTAACTCTAATTCTCTAAGAGAATATGAATGCAAGTTTCAGATTTGTTTTCCAAATTTTTAAAAGTAAAAATCATATGAAATTGCGAAATTATTCGTTGCTTTCGAAAATACTTCTCATACAGTAGGATATTGATTGCTGGCCGTTCCAGCTGACAAGTATTGGGATTGGTAAATTAATAAAATTTTGTAGATTCAAAATTTTTAATAATTGTAAAAGTGGTTGCCGACTGTGTGGCCGAAAGTCCTACGGAGTGAAAAGTATAGGTCAAATATCGTGCCGCGTATTTCAGGTGGAGCATCAGGCAAACGGACGCGTGAATAGAGTGAGATTGCAAGGATGGTAAAGTGAGACAAGTTACATTGGTCGTCAGTGAGACTTGTTTTCGCTTGTACTAATGTCGCGCTCTCTTGTTCACTTGCCATTTCCTCTCTTTGTCTAAAATTATGGGGGCAGCATTGCTTATCTGTGAAGCATCAACCAATAAGAGAAAAGTAGTGTCCGTACCTGTACCTTAAATTTCTGGATTCCGATATCACTCAGTTCAGTTCAGTATTTCGAGGCAGTATTATAGAAGCACTCAGGCACGGTTTATGCAATTGTTTGTTTTGCCTTGTTTGACAATAAAGGATATATAAAAAATGCCTCGCATTATGATAAAAGGTGGTGTTTGGCGGAACACTGAGGTAAGATTTAACTTTTAACCTGGAGCTTACATTTTCATTATAAAACATGTTCTTTTTAACTGATGTAATCTATTACAGGATGAAATCCTGAAAGCCGCTGTGATGAAATATGGGAAAAATCAATGGAGTCGAATAGCATCCCTCTTACACAGAAAATCTGCCAAACAATGTAAAGCACGATGGTTTGAATGGTTGGATCCAAGCATCAAGAAAACTGAATGGAGCAGAGAAGAAGACGAGAAATTGTTGCATCTTGCCAAATTGATGCCTACACAATGGAGAACCATTGCACCAATTATTGGACGTACTGCAGCTCAATGTTTAGAACGTTATGAATACTTACTGTGAGTTATTTTGATTATCATAGAAAATATTTGTATAATTTAGATTTTTACATAATTCATGTGTTTTACTTATTTAGTGATCAAGCTCAGAAGAAAGAAGAAGGAGATGATGCAGCAGACGATCCTCGCAAACTCAAACCAGGAGAAATTGATCCAAATCCGGAAACAAAACCTGCTAGACCTGATCCAAAAGATATGGATGAAGATGGTAAATCTGTTTTATAAGCAATTACTTCTTTTTTCATGTAAGAAGTATAATAGCAGTAATTTTTAGAACTGGAGATGTTGTCTGAGGCACGTGCTAGGCTTGCAAATACTCAGGGCAAGAAAGCAAAACGTAAAGCTAGGGAAAAGCAATTGGAAGAAGCCCGCAGACTGGCTGCTCTACAAAAACGTAGAGAATTGAGAGCTGCTGGTATTACTGTCTCACAAAAGAATAAACGGAAACGAGGGGTTAATTACAACTCTGAAATTCCATTTGAGAAACGACCTGCAACTGGATTCTATGATACGTCGAACGAGTATGTAGATCCACTCGCTATTGACTTCTCTAGGATGAGACAACAACATTTAGATGGGGAATTAAGGCAAGAGAAGGAAGAAATGGAACGAAGAAAAGATAAGCAGAAGCTTAAACAACGCAAGGAGAACGATATTCCAATGGGAATGCTCAATAATGAAGAGCCAATAAAAAAAAGGAGTAAATTAGTGTTACCAGAGCCACAGATATCTGACCAAGAATTACAACAAGTTGTTAAACTTGGGAGAGCATCTGAAGTATAGTATTATATTATACATACACCCTAATTTATTAAATAAATGGATATTTCTAATTTTTACATTTTATAATAGGTTGCCCGTGAGGTTGCAACTGAAAGTGGAATCACATTATCAGATAGTTTGCTTGCCGATTATTCTCTACCAACAAATGCAGCTATAACTCCTCGCACTCCAGCTGCTACTGATAGAATTCTCCAAGAAGCCCAGAACGTTATGGCCCTTACTCACGTGGATACACCATTAAAGGGTAGGCAATGTACTTTACATAATTGGAAATGACATGTTGGAGATGTAACGCTTTGACTTTTTTATTTACAGGTGGTTTAAATACTCCATTAAATAATTCAGACTTTACCGGTGTTGTTCCTACTGCAAACGCCATAGCTACACCAAATACAATTTTGGCTACACCTTTTCGTTCGCAACGTAGCGATGGAACTCCAGCAAATTCTTTCAACACGCCGACATCTGTACGAACGCAAAACGGAGTTTTGGCAACTACGCCTGTTCGCGACAAGCTAAGCATTAATCCAGATGAGAACATTGATGGATCAGAGACTCCTCTGGTTCAGAAGCAAGTTAAAGAACAATTACGTGCTGGCCTCAGCACTCTTCCAGCCCCACGAAATGATTACGAAATAGTAGTCCCTGAAGGGGAAAATAAAGATGAAAATGCATCCACACCTGCGACCGAAATCGTCGAAGATCAAGCTGATATAGACGCCAGACAACAGCAAGAATTAATGGAGCAGAGTGCGTAATGATATGACTGCAAACATTTTTCTATCGCATATGAAATAATTTCTTCAATACAATTATATTGTACTTTGTAGGAAAGAGGGAATTATCGCGTAGATCACAAGTTATACAACGAGATTTGCCACGGCCTGTTGATGTGAACATGAATATTCTGAGGCCGTTTATGGACACTTCGTTAACAGACTTGCAAAGGGTGCGAACACGTAGAGTTCATTACCGTTTAAGACAGGCGTTTTATATAATTATTGTTAATAGGTATTTCATTTTAGGCTGAGGAATTAATTAAAAGAGAAATGATTACAATGATGCAATATGACTCACTGCAAAATCCATTGCAACAAAATCGTAAGGGTGGCTCGAGTTCTGTAGCTCAAGCTTATTTAGAACAGCATCCCTACATTAGCTTTGATGAAGATGAGCTTACTGCGGTAAGTTTTGATATGCAATGTACCCCATTTGAATTTTTATACTCAATTATTTCACTATATTTTTATGATTTAGGCTAAAAAACTCCTAATCGAAGAAATGTCCGTTGTGAAAGATGGTATGGCACATGGAGAGCTTAGTTTAGATTCTTACACAACAGTGTGGGAGGAGTGCTTGTCCCAGATTTTGTATTTGGAAACTCAGAAACGTTATACACGAGCAACTCTAGCTTCGAAGAAGGATCGAGTGGAAGCGTGTGAAAGAAAATTGGAAGAAAATCGAATGCACATGACTGGAGAAGCCAAACGAGCTGCTAGAATGGAAAAGAAATTAAAAGTTCTCACTGGGGGATACCAGGTATTTAGATTTATGTAACTCTAAAAAATTCATGAAATTTAATATCAGCTGCTCGCTCATACAATTATTACAATTACAGACTAGAGCACAAGTATTAACGAAACAGTTACACGATTTATGGGAGCAAATAGAGCAGGCACATTTAGAACTTTCGACGTTCAAATTTTTACAAACCCAAGAAGAGGCTGCGGTACCAAGACGAGTAAATGCACTTATGGAAGATGTTAATAGACAAACAGAGCGAGAACGNTAAAGAACAATTACGTGCTGGCCTCAGCACTCTTCCAGCCCCACGGAATGATTATGAAATAGTAGTCCCTGAAGGGGAAAATAAAGATGAAAATGCATCCACACCTGCGACTGAAATCGTCGAAGATCAAGCTGATATAGACGCCAGACAACAGCAAGAATTAATGGAGCAGAGTGCGTAATGATATGACTGCAAACATTTTTCTATCGCATATGAAATAATTTCTTCAATACAATTATATTGTACTTTGTAGGAAAGAGGGAATTATCGCGTAGATCACAAGTTATACAACGAGATTTGCCACGGCCTGTTGATGTGAACATGAATATTCTGAGGCCGTTTATGGACACTTCGTTAACAGACTTGCAAAGGGTGCGAACACGTAGAGTTCATTACCGTTTAAGACAGGCGTTTTATATAATTATTGTTAATAGGTATTTCATTTTAGGCTGAGGAATTAATTAAAAGAGAAATGATTACAATGATGCAATATGACTCACTGCAAAATCCATTGCAACAAAATCGTAAGGGTGGCTCGAGTTCTGTAGCTCAAGCTTATTTAGAACAGCATCCCTACATTAGCTTTGATGAAGATGAGCTTACTGCGGTAAGTTTTGATATGCAATGTACCCCATTTGAATTTTTATACTCAATTATTTCACTATATTTTTATGATTTAGGCTAAAAAACTCCTAATCGAAGAAATGTCCGTTGTGAAAGATGGTATGGCACATGGAGAGCTTAGTTTAGATTCTTACACAACAGTGTGGGAGGAGTGCTTGTCCCAGATTTTGTATTTGGAAACTCAGAAACGTTATACACGAGCAACTCTAGCTTCGAAGAAGGATCGAGTGGAAGCGTGTGAAAGAAAATTGGAAGAAAATCGAATGCACATGACTGGAGAAGCCAAACGAGCTGCTAGAATGGAAAAGAAATTAAAAGTTCTCACTGGGGGATACCAGGTATTTAGATTTATGTAACTCTAAAAAATTCATGAAATTTAATATCAGCTGCTCGCTCATACAATTATTACAATTACAGACTAGAGCACAAGTATTAACGAAACAGTTACACGATTTATGGGAGCAAATAGAGCAGGCACATTTAGAACTTTCGACGTTCAAATTTTTACAAACCCAAGAAGAGGCTGCGGTACCAAGACGAGTAAATGCACTTATGGAAGATGTTAATAGACAAACAGAGCGAGAACGCGTTTTGCAAGCACGATACGCGCAATTACAAGATCAGTTGCAATAATATTGAATATTAAGACCATGATTACTGTAATACTGTAAACGTATTATGAAATATAAGAACTTACTTTGTATACTTAAAGAAATGATGTTTAGGGTAATTTCACGCCAAATTGTTTGTTTTGCGATGAAGTGAATGAACTGATGATTCACACTCCTGTGTTCTGCATTCGATTCCACTTGAATAAAATGTCTGACATCGATGGCAGAAGGTGATTAATTTGGCGTAGAATGGCTCCATTTACCAGAAAGTCACAGGAAGCATTCTCTTAGGTAGTAATTTTACGATAAACAATTCCTTTTACATTTCAAGACTGAATAAATTTAATGTGAATATAATTTATTGTATGTAAAAAGTTAGAAACATAATATAGTTGTTAAGTGAAAAAGTATAAAAAATAAATCTTGAAATTAATTCTTACTGTAGCATTGTTATTTATTTAAAAAAAACTCATTTGATAAAATTTATTATTACCTTAAATGTACTATTCATTTTATTTGGTTTTTATGGGAAAAAATTAAACATGTAAATTATTAATTAAAATAGTAGTGTAGAACAAATTTTGCCTCTAAACATCAACATTCAGAAAATGTGTAAGTAGTGTTAACTTGTATATTTTAAAATGCTGTGTAATTATAAAACAATAAAATTATAAAATGTAATTATAATTTCGAAGACATTTCATTAAAGCCTAGTCTATTAATGTTTTAATACTGGTTTGGATTTTAAATATAAATAATTAATTATATATACGAAACTATTTAATGGATCAATTATAAATATTAGCTTTGCATATTTCAACTGACCCGTTTAAGGCATGCAAATAGTTTAAAAGTTCAAGTAATCTATTAAATTGTTTGATTTATAATTAAATTGGTACAAATACATTCGTATACAAAATATATTATATTCCTATAACAGCAAAAAATGACATGATCAAGCGTAACTATACTTAAGTTTGAATAGTTTAAAGCCATGGCCGCCAGCCAACGTATGTACGTCCTAGTATATTTAAGTCGGTTGCTTGATCCAGCAAGCATTCAATCTAAAAATTTAATTAAATTTGTAATTCAACATCAAGAAATGATTTGGATCACAGACTACGCTTCTTATTGAAATGAAGAAGAATAGTAGATAGGTGATCTGGAACACTATTATAAAATATTACCTGTTCCTCAGGACTTAGATGATCATTATTCATGGTTGCTCGAGGTCGTTTAATGTCATCTTCTCCATTTAGTATAACATAATATCGATCAAAATATTTGCTCTCGTGTTGATCCTTCAATTGCTCCAGAATAATCAAAGACGGTTTGATTCCGTTTAATTTTTTGGTAACAGCTTTGATCTTTTTCATAGGCATCCATTTAATGTCCGCGATATCATCTTCATCTTCTCGCTGTTTTTTGTTCACATGTTCAGTCCAATTTAAGGGCTCGTGAACAAAAACATCCATACAAGATAGAATAGGACCTGCTTGGTTCCTGAGCGCTTTTAACGTATGTACCATCACAGATCGTAGAAGATCCTTTTCAGTGAAAGGTCTGAGTAAACCAAGAATTTGATTCGTTAAACGAAACGGCATTAATTCAGGAATCCTCAGATCAACACCGGCGTCGAATGCTAATCCAAAATCGATTCCCAAACAACGACCAGATTCAACTGCGATCAGAAGATTTCCAAGATGTCGATCACCGATACCCAAAATCCAATGAGCAATGCATATGGTGGCAAAAGTGGTGACAAAATTTCGACGCATCACAACGAAGCTTTCTACAGATGGACATACTATTGTGAACGTTTTGCGCAAATTATCCCAGTTGGTTTTACTTATAAACTCGTTCATTTTAGCGATCACTTTTGCTGCGCTGTATTTCACTGTTGCCTCTTTATATCTCTCAACTTGCTTTTTAGAGGGTGCGGCGCTTCGAATCCACTCTTCATAGTGTCCACCTATCGCCTCGCACCGTTTTTCTTCTTCCGCAGATAATGTAAAGTGTATAAATTCTTGCAGAGATCTTGTATTGTCTATCCATTGTATTAGCCCTACTGCCTTGGACAAAGGAATCACCTATATAGAATAAATGTATTTATTATTTGTTCTCATAAAAAAACGGGACGTTTTGTGCATTTGCAAACTCACCTGATACGTGTCTATAGACAATTGTCTCTGATTGCAAGCAGCATCAATGCGCAATGTTTTATTCATAACAGTGAACAACTGTTGTAACCTTTGGTCTTGTCTTAAATCTTCACCAAACTTCACTAGGAAGGGATACTCCTTTGCATCGTTACCAATCATAACGATCTGTATAGGCTTCCGGAGAGATTTGAGCACCTTCACTGAAGATTCTAGCTTCATAAGCTTGGCATGATACTGTGGCATAGGTCTCCTGTTGCCGATGTACTGTCCAGGTATTTCGATGTCTTTGCCAGAAAATCTGTGCAACCATGGACTATAGTCCTGCAAATGCGTTTTATCTTTACGTTTAGCAAACGACTTCTTGATATTTTCAATCATCTGGTATACAATTTGTTTAATTTGCTCAGGTTTTCTCGATTCTAATTTTTTTATATGGGCTTCATAGGTTCTGATCTCATTAAATATTGTCCCTGGTCTTAAACTGTGTTCAATCTCCTGTTTATTTGGATATACTTTCTTTAGTAGCATGCTCACGGCTGTAGCAGGCCCTTGCGATAAGTCCTTCAAAAATTGAAGTAGATAATATTGCAAATATAATTCTGGCTGAACGAGATAGTGCATTGCCTGTAGAAACTGATCGATTTCAGATTTCTTGTAGAGCATTTTTCGAATTTCATAGGTCCTATTTTCGTTGAGGAGAGCAGGATTGGTTTCTACCGTTAAACGGAACGTGTATATCACAGCATCTGGATATGTTTCAACGATGCGTTTCAGGATAGGTATAATTAACGGTGCAATAGACGTTCCTAGATGTGAGAAGAGCTGGGCCTGCCAAGATAAGAACAACCAAGTTTCGATTCCTTCGCTCTCTTTCATAAAAATATCCTTCGTCTCTTCATCCTCAAAATATTCAGATTTTAATAAGCAAGGAAAGTAATGAGCTGCCTCAAGAGATCCATAGCTCATTGCTTTTAATGTGGAACGCACGAATTCTTTACTTATGTTAACATCACGGTTATCACATGATAATTTAGCATAACAATACTTTGAAAGGGTGAAGTAGCACTCCTGACTTCTCGAAGATGGCACTGTACAACACTCTTTTAGTTGTTCCAAACTATAAGCTTTCAATGATTCTCTAATGACAGATACATCATTATTTCCAATATTAATTACTTTCAAGATTGCAGTGTTATTTGTTAATAAATCAGAAAATGTTGTGTCATTCTGACTTAACTCTGCCATCTTTGAAGCTACTTTACTGACTTGTTGTCGAACATGTACATTTATCATGGGATCAAGATCACTTTTCTGAAGAAGATCGTGACAATATGTCCAAGAATCAGTGTAGTTAGACAGTTTCTTCTTCATATCTGTTTCAATTTCTCCAATCAAGTACTTCGTCTTCGCAATAGTTAAAAAGAATTGCTGTTCCATATCTACAGAGTAATTTGAGTTATTCTCTTCTATCTTGCACAAGTATTTTTTTGCTATGTATTTATTCTTCTGGCTCAATGCTGTTTCAATCATTTTCAGTTGCATGTTGAAAGTTACTCTACACAGTTGGTAAGTAATTCCGTTTTCCTCTTCGTTTGGTACACTCTCTGAATCTTGTTGAGTTTCATTCACATTCCAATTTGTTAATGCCTCTTTTAATGGTCCGTTAATGAATTCAATTCTATAGGATGTTAACTTGTCCCATGGGATGATGGCGTCTTGTACAGACGGTAGACTACTATTCCAAAAGTTTAGGATGTTTTGCAAGTCATCCGGATCCTTCGCCGTTTTTAGAATTTTTATGAACCAGTTCACATCATTGATTATTCGCAATTTTTGTAGCATATGTATCTTCAGCTGTGTAGAGAGTGGATGAAGTTTAATCCACTGTTCTCTCATCTCGTTCAATGTACTCAGTGTTGCGTGACGAGCAACTTCTATTTGATCGTATAACCAGAACATTGTCAATTCACCGCCAAAGAATCGTTTAAGATACTTCACTTTCTCATCGTCTTTTATCCAATCTTTGATAATTTTCTGGATTTCGGAAAGTTCAATATTAGTCTTTTCGCCTGTTAATACTCTCACGTATACTTCGAATAACCATGGGAACATCCAATTTTTCCATGGGTCGTTCCAAATGTTCTCTATGTTTCCATTTAATTTATTATGTATACGTGTGTGAACTCCATCCCAGTGACACATGTTGCTCAAACACTCAAACAAGCCTTGAAGACAATGTTCTTTGACCAATACAGAATCTGTTTCATAAGCTTTTTCATAAGCTGCTTTCGCTTTCTTCCAATTGTTAGATGTTTGGGCAAACGATGCTTCCTGCAATTGAAAAAAATGTTAACAAAAATAGTACAATAAATATACAATATACAATATACAAATAAACGCATACTTGTAAATTCTCATTGGTGATATGATTTTGAAAGATACTAAGGACCACATCAACATCATTGATGGACTCGTAAAGGTTGGCTAACTGCAACCATTCTTCCTGCATGGAATTGGAATCTTTATTCAAAGATTGTTGCATCGTTCTATCTTGTACACTACTGTTTCTCGCTCTTTTCTTAGGCGGTTCGATATCATTTTTACCATATACTAAATTTTCTTCTATAATGAGTGGACCAAGGAAATTCAAGCTATTTAATCTTGAAACCCTTGCAACGACCTCCGGCGAGCAATTAATTGCACGAGTACTCTGCAGTATTTCTAAACTCACAGCTATCATAGAATTATTTCCTTGTTCTCTTTCTGTGATCAGTTTCAAACTATTCGCGATGTTCCTTACAAAGTCGCCTCCTCTGGATACTTTCAGTAAGGAGCAAACAATAGAAACTGTTAAGTCCTTACAAATCTGTGAGTCCTTCTTTGCCAGTTGCTGTAGTGGTTCAATCAACGCTGAGTGGAATATTTCAATGTCTGGAAAATCACCTATTCTGTATTTTCTATATAATTTCACACTACTTCTCTGACGAACAGCATCTTCTTTTATCATTTCAGCACGTTGTATATTCTTCATAATCTGTTCTTGTCGTATGGTCGACGAAATATCAACGGATCTGCACAAGAATCGTTTTGATTTCTTGTTGTAAGCAGGTTCTGGTACCGCTGGTATTTTAAATACATCATCATTGCTATAATCAACAGATGTTGATATAGGTTCTTCATCACCAAAGGTCGGTTCAAATTCTGGATCTTGTGTGGCCTGTAAGTCAAACTCGGCATTTGTGTTCATATATGACGATGTATATTCAGAATCAAACGAATTTGTAAAAGAAGCACTCATTTGGGTAAACGTTTGATTCATTTTACTAGCAAGAGATGGAACAAACAGCGGAGCTTTCGATCCAAGATTTCTTGTTCTCCATGAAGGTGTTATTTTATAATCTTTGTAGCAGCAACCTTCGAACAAAGGTTCTTTAAATATCGTCTGCATATAATTTTTTGATTTCTTAGTGAGATCCAGAATCATAAGAAGCACAAACGGTAGAAAATTCTTGCCAGCACCAGGTATATATACATTTAAACTTTCCAATAATCTTTCTTCACAAGTGTGCTCTAGGTGTGCATCTTGAGACCAAAAGTCTAGAATCTTCTCTTGTATTTGTTCAGTGGGATCTAATATGCCATTAAATAACATTTCTTTGCTACTGTCCATCAATTTTTTTACATCATCTTCATCAGACGTATCTTCAACATATTTCTTATAAATATCTATAAATATGTCATAGGCGCATTCTCTGTATTCAGAAGAATCATGTTTGATATATGGAGTCACCAAAACAATTAGAGACAATAGATATGATGGAGAAACAATAGAAACCAAAGTGTGAGTGACCTGCAATGCCATCTTCTCGTAAGGTAAAACTTTGTTTTTTAATAGATCATGGAACTTCATGTATTCTAATTCTCTCAGTATCCGTTCTGCATTGAGCTTTGGTATACACCACAAAAATATTTCTAAGCAATCTGATTGTCCCATTTTGTCCACTCTGAATATGTTCGCAGTAACGAAGTCGAAATAAATTATTCCAGCATCTGGATAACTTTTGCATAATGCACGAATGCATTTTATTTGTCTGGATATGCACGATATTTGCATCTGTTTTAATACGCTTTTAATTTGTTCAATTATGAGCCCCTTTCTGCTCGAAATGCTATTGTGCTCGTCTAAGTGCTTCAAGATAAAGCCAAAACATTCGCAACACTGCAAAACAGTCTCCTCATCGTCTTTCCAGTTTTGTAGAGATTTCTCTAGAAACTCTAAGACATCACTTTTTTCGAGTATCTTGTCAACCATTCCGTTCACCATACAAATTAATATCAAGTATACTGTGGATCCAGGTGCAGTCTGCATTTTGTTACTTAAATTCCGTGGCAATTCCAAACAAGTATGCCACATTTCAAGGATAATTTTTATCATATACATGTTATATTTATAAACTGTTTTGGGAATCTCGTCTGTTTTGTTCACAACGGCTTTGTCGATCATTATTTCCCAAAATTTCTGCGCAATGATTTTCTCATCAGTTGTGTCAGGTTGGGCTACACTCTGCCAATTTATTAACATCTCTATAATATCAGTAATTATATAATTCAACGGATTTCGTAATAAATACGAATAGGTCAAACGTATTATTGGCTTTAGACAATATTTTGCATATGGTTTGAATACGGTTTGCATGTTCAATACAATTTTCAGCACAAATAGTTTAACGTTGTCGCTACCTGTTGCATTGCAGAACAGTTTCAACCACATTGGTATCATGAAATCATCGTCATCAGGTGCTACAGATATTTGTTGTGATACCATATGATTCAACACACCACAAATGGTTGCCATGCATTCGTGATTATTTAGTTCGTCGCTTTCAAGCAACACACTCATGCTTTCTTTTGCAGTATCTGTATTGTTAGGATTGTTGCGCACAACTGCTTCATTGTAATCATAAGCATCTATGTCCTCGTTCAAGGAACAGCAAGTCAGATCAAAGCTATAAATATAAGAGTTTTGTGCAGAGTTTGCTTGTTTTTTCAGATTTTTTCTTATATTAACCAATTTCTTATAGTTCTTTGGATATTCCTTCAAAGTTTGTTGAAGATTGTACCGCTTCTTACTATCTACAATGTTCGCCCAGATCAATTGTTCCTTCTTCTTATTCTCAGCAAAGATGCCCTTGTAGGCGTCTTCATCTGTTTTTAAGCACACAACTGCTATGGAAAAATTGTATGCAGAGCAGTGTAGCAGTCTTATTATCTCTTTGTGCTCTGGATCAAGTGTCTTGAACATACGTACATGTAGTGCGTTGCTGTATAAATTTTTTATCAGTTCTTTACCAGTTACTGCGTCATCAATGGCATTTTGTGTAATGACACTGTCAGGATTTTCTATTTCGTCTATGTCTATCTTCGCGAACATAATTCCAACGAGATCATAGCAGCCTATCTTTGATACTATCAGATGACTGGTATCCGAACTGCTTCCAATAATTGCTTGCTCGATAATAGTGTACATCTCGCGGATATTATTTTCAAAAAATTTCTGTATCTCGGTAATTTCACAGAACTGAAATAATGGCAGAAGAAATTTCCGTAGTATGTCGAATCTCTCATTTATAGACATGTTCAAGTCTAAGAATAATTTATATGCTGCCTCCATAGAGTCTAAAGAACTTATGGGACTAATGCAATTGAAATATTTCTTTAGACATTCTTCAGTTTTTTCGTCGCATAGATGTTCAGCGATTCCAGCAGCAAATAAAATTATAGATTTAAATACTACAATTGATTTTGTAACGGTAAGCACCGTTAATAACGTCTGGAAACAGTTAATGACTTTTAAAGCTTTCACATCTCTTTGTGAAAAATCGTTTGGACACAAGGCAATCCTGTCGCTTCGCAGAGTACGTAAAATGGCAAATAATTCTGGTTGAGAATTGGACGTCATATCGGTCAAACAAACGAGGAAATTCTGAATAATTCTGGTTTTGTCATTTAGGTCATTGCTTTCTGTTAATTGATTCAATATCCACGTGTGAAAGTCTTTATTCAAAGACTGCACCTCCATTGGATTTTCTTTCAAGTGCACGACAATTCCATAAATGCTTATTAGCTTCTCTTTTCTATCGCCTAAATTTTTCATAGCTCGTTCAAAATCTGTAAATCTCTTAATTACAACATCCACTAAGGATTTTCTGCTTTCCTGTAATTCACTTTTGTGTCGTTGCACAAACAGAAAGAGTTGCTCGGTCATTGTTAACAAAAATGATGAATTCATTTTCAATAGGGTGTTTAATACTTCCATAGTTTTCTCTGCATCCTTCAGCATGTATCTAAACATTTCGTTTTTAAACAGACGTAGAAAGTACATTCCATGTTCAATTTTTTTGAAGTCCCATTCGAGCATTGTGTCTTTACCAATTAATGTGATCAGTGTCTCTGTTATTGATGTCTGCAAATAGTTGTATATTTTAACGATTTACTTTTACAATACTTTTGATTTACCAACTATGATTTTAAAGTAACATACCTTGTAATGAATAAGGAGCAATTCCATCAGAATTTGCAAATATTCTATTATTGACGCTTTTATATTCACACAAACCAGTTCTCCCATTTGTTTTTGTGCTAGGACATTGAAGATACGCGTAATTTTATCGTCGGGTTGTTCTATTGAATAAATTCCCTAAAAATATAGCAATTAATATGTAAAAATAAATTAATGTAAAAGACTCAAAAATATGATTAATGAAGATTACATTACACATCTGACTCAGAATATTATGTTGTTCCAAAAATCTTAAACCACGAACGTATTGTTTCAATTCGCTACAGCTATCTGTGCTGTAAACAATTTCATCCAAGTCAATGAAACTATTTATATGTTTTTCTACATACGCAGATAGTTCACATTTTATAGAATTCAGTATGGTATCATCACCCTTTCGTATTATCGATTTCATTAAATTGTCCATAATTAACGAAAGTGATTCAATACTTTCAAAATTGATTGTCTCAAATCCTACAACTTGAGGACACATTATACATTTTGAAATTAGTTCATACAGATCCTTGCACAGAAAGAAATCTGGCACATAATTTTTCTGAAATTGTAAAATGAAAAAATACATTGAATTTTAACACAATTATCTTAAGGGGAATGCAACTTTGCAAGTCTAAAATAACTATTGTCAATTTAATTCTTTAAGAAAACCTTTAATTATCTTAGAGCCGACAAAGTTGTACACCTCTTTAAGAAATAATTTACTTACATTGGAATTGAGAAGAATTTGAAAGAAATCAAATATTGTTATTATTAGTTTACACTGTAACGATTGTAATTCTTCAAATTCTATGGATAGCATTACTACACTATCATCATCTGTTTCGCTTTTAATTTTATTGACTACATAAACGAAATTTTTTGCGCTATTAAAAAGTATTTCATTTTTTGTATTTGTTTTCGCAAATAAATATTCCATTTCCAGCAGATCATTTTTTATCAGCCAAATGTAGCAATCCAAACTTCTCAAAAGAGGTAAAATAATGCTACAAGAAAGACTTTCAATCTTCGAATCGAGTTCGCCAAATATCATTGCATTAAATGCATCGTTTCCATGGTCATCAATGAAATTATTTATCATTGTTGTAACCGAATCGCAATCTTTTAAATGTTCTGAAAGTTTAACCACCAAGTCCATGCATTTCGTTCTACAAGGAAGGTTTATGCAACCGCATTGAGAGAACAGCCAGTACACTGCATCTGTCAGAGTGTCTCCTTTAAATTCAGCTGGTAATCTACGTTTACTATGATGTGCATTCAATAAATTTTTTTTCGCAATTAATACTCTTTCAACGTGATCGAGTGCAACCACAATCGAGGGGTCATTACAACCATCTAAACTCTTCACAAAGCAATACAAAATTTCCAGCCAGTACATGGAAACAATTTTGTCGTCTTCTCGTAATATAGTGTAAAGATGATTGAAAACTGTTGCAGCTGCTATTCGCTTACATATAGATGGATGAATCGCGAAGTTCGTCATTTTATATAAGACCTCATCAATGTTAGATTGAGTTCCTCTGTCATTGTTAGACTGCTTTATAGACCATTTAGTAAATTCGGCTAAACATGCTGCAGAAAATTCTCTAAGCGAAGAGTTTGAATCATTGCTTAAAGCCTCGAACACTGAATCTATAAAATATGTAGTCGCTAAAGACTTGAGCATAAATTTTGAGCTCAACCAGTGCATCAACTGCAGCATCAAAGGCTGAAAAATTTGCCTTGCTGCTTCATCGTAATCACAGCCTAGATTCAATAGGGCTGGACATATTATATTGTACAGGGGAGCGAATTTATCCAGATTTAATTTCGATGTTTTTCCTAGAATCAACATTACCATGGAATGAAGTACTTCACAGGCTATTATCTTCGTTCGCCTGTCCCCAGAGTTTTGAGCTAATTGAGTCACCCTTGGTAGGACTTTATCAAAATAAATATCCACTTCTGTATCCGACAAAGACAACGAATACTTGAGTAAATCCTTCTTGTCCCAAGTAGCTCCTATATTCATAGATTTTTTATACACGAAATTCAGTAATGTATCAGTGTCGAGCGATGCGATAAATAATAGAACTCTCATCTGAAATCTTTCTAATGTTTTTTCGTTGTCTCTGAGTACGATGCGCTTTATAACTTTCCGCTCAGATTTTATTATGTCCTGTGACATTTCTATGCAGCTTTCTTCGCTGTTTAAATATGGCTCCAAGAATGGAACAATTTCTAACAAAAATTTATCTTTCTGTTGATCGTTTGAACGGCTTGTCCATTTTTCTAACGCGCTCAACGCAGTCCAAGCTACTTCAAAATCACTTAAACCCACCGTTAAAGCTATTTTAAATGTCGGAATGGAACTATCCAGTATACGTTCTATGTACATCTCAGGTACATTCAAAATTAAAGATAAACACGTTGTTAGTAATTCACCGCTGAAGGTGGACATCAAATTCAATATATTAATGAAGTATTTGTATAATAAATCTAGTGTCTCTGCTTCAATCTCGCCTTCAGTTAAATTAGAAATATGTTTAAACGTCGCGTACACTAATTTATAGAATCCTGATACAAGCGGATACTTGTAAGACATAGTGATAAACTTTAATAGGAATTTGTGCAAAGTGTTCATCAACAAAGAGGACTCTAATTCATTGATGATATCAACAAACAAATCAACAATATTGATGAACATTCGAAAGTCTGTTGCATTCTCGGCAATTTGAGAAAAGGTTGCATCTGAGAATATATTATCATCCTTCACTTTCGTGTTTAGATTTAATTTAGTAATCAGCACGATGCATACATGCATTATTGAATCAACCACGTCCTGTATAATGCGCTCGTGTTGTCTATACCTTTCTGGTCTTGTAAGTTGTATCCATAAAGGTAAATAGTTTTTGTAGCACATTAGGCGCTCTTCATGGTGTTTTAATTCGCGTTGTAATTCCGCGTCGACGTACAAAGTATGCGAACAAGTCCATATTATTCCATTGTAATCTAAATAAAAAAAGCGAACGTTATCGTATTTACATAAATAGCTGCACAACATAGCAATACACTTACTTAAATTATATAGAAATTCTTCTAACAAGGTTTTACTGACTGTCCCAATATTAACGATCGTTTTTACCAGCGAATAAATTGCAGGATTTTGATTAACTATGGGAAGATCGGGAAATTTTTTAACTAAAATAACACTGAGCTTTGAAATTATATTAATCTGATCAATTGATAGATCAAATATATGCAATATTATTTCAGATAATGCTTCTTGGTAATAGTAAATACTTTCCAAGTCCAAACGCTCTAAATTTTCTCTGTGGACATTGTTACCAAGAATTATTAAAATATCCTTGATTGTTTATCTTCGATTTTTAAGAGTATTAAATAACTGAAGCTAGGCAGTGTTAAAATGTATATATATTTGAACCCATACCTTGAACAGACTGACACAGCACAATGAGCAATCAGAGAAAACATTTCTTGTACGTCATTATGTGTAAGATATATTTTACATGGAGCAGCCATTTTACTGTAGCCGTATACTACAAAACATCTGTTTGCAGTTACTTCTTGATTATTTTTCAGTTCTTTTTCGAAAAAGTTTTTAAAATACTGAAACATTATTTTTGATTATGTTCAATTAGAATATTTATATTTAATTAAAATATCGAATGTAAAATTTACCAAAAATATAGTTTTATCTTCATCAGAAGTTTTGTCTTTTAATATGTTTCCAATTAATTGATAAAAATTTTTTAAAGCATTCTGTCCACATACACTACATTGTGTATTCTTGTCTTGAGCCAAATTAATTAATAGTTCATACCAATACTTATAATCAGAATAAACAAATTCTTGAAAGAACTTCATATGACGTGACAATAAGTTGATTGCAGATCTCATTGTAACTTTCTTAATTTGATATCTCTCTGGACGACTTAGATCTTTAACCCAGCTATACAGTTCTTCATCATATTTTTGTTTAAAATCATCTGAAAGTGCTTCCAACAAATCCGAAAGAACATCCAAATATATTTGTAATATATCAGTTGATTTTGCAATGAGTGGATTATTCTAAAATCATAAATAAGAGAATAGGTGTATATGCATTGTAGATGTTCTCTGAAATTATATACCTGTTTTATGAAGTCATTTCTTTATTGTATGAATAACATAATTGCATTTTCTTGTATTTCTGGAATTTCTGGTGTATGCTTCGTAATTTTACTAATCACACTCAATACTAATAGCATGTCGTGTTTGGTCTCATTTTAATTGGCAGAATCTCATCACAATATGTTAAAAAAATTTTCATGTATAAAAGATTAGAAATAAAGAAGTGAACNTAGTTGCATTTTCTTGTATCTCTGGAATTTCTGGTGTATGCTTTGTGATTTTACCAATCACAGAAAATAATATACTCCTCTCTGAAATAATACATGGAAAACTATTACATGCAATTATTTATATAATAAGAATAATTTTTAATAATAAACTCTTACCCTTTATATCTATTATAGGAAATAAACGTATAAATATTTTTATAGTTTCCCCTAATCCTATTTCATGTTCTCCAAATAATTCAATTATCTTATTAAAAGTATTACAAGCTGCTTTTTTAATTACTGTAGGACATTTTACTTCAAGCGCCTTTTGACATATATTCTAAAAACACACACACACACAATTCAATCTACATTATATTCTACTTATATTATTTATTATATGAAACATAATACA